TTTTCGGGGGAACTTTATTATTTTCATTTTTTTCTGGAGCGTGAAGATGTTTCGTGTCGTGTAGAGCAACTTTCTGTTTCGCTGAAGCTGCTTTAAGCTGTGTTTTTTGTTTTGTTTGTTTTGGTTCATGTCTGCTGCTGAGCAATTGGATACTATTTTTTGCAACCAGGCTGAGATTGATGCTTGTCTGATCAAAATTACAAGTTACTTTTATGTCGTTGGCAAGAGAGGAACATCATGGAAGTTCCGGAAAAGTATTTTTTAACCTGTGCCTGCTGTAAACACATGCTTTTTTTTTTCGGGGTGGAGAAGATATTTTCTGCTGTGATTTCTTGGTTGTCCGATTGATTGATTGATTGATCGAGTAATTAATTTTGTTTTGTCATGGTTCTGCAGAGGATAGATTTTGGCGTTCGTTTTTTTTTTTGTCTTTTTGGCAGGGAATTTGACATAAATTGTCAGGGAAAAATGTCGAAAAGTGAAAATGAGTTCGCGCATCCAATGATGAACACTGCTGGTGATGTGGCGGCTGAGTTGCAAAAGATGCGGATTGCGAGGGTTCCCAAACCACGAGTTGCAGTTGACGAGAAGACCAAGGCCAAGGTTTGGAGAAAAAAGCAGTCTGGAACTTGTTGGCATTGACTTTTTTGAATAATTCTGTGGGCATGAAGCAAGAGATAACCTCTTGAAGTCCAACTCTGAAGGACCAGCAATAACAACAACACAAATTGGCTTGGGGAGTCTTTTTAGTTTGAGAAAAAAGGCATTTTTGCAGGGAAAAACACAAGCTGTGAAAGTTTTACTTTGAAGATCTTTCTGGTCTTGAATGTCTTTTAAAATGAGTCAATTTTCTGGCAAACTTGGTCCACAATTTCCCATGAGAATCAAGCATGATGCGCACATAGGTGTCATATTTTATTTTTATGTATATCTGCCCAAGTGATGTGCACTCCCCTTTTTTTTTTTTTTTGCTCAAATTTGGGAAAAAAAGTGTGCTTGGTTCTCAAGTGAATTCAATAGTCATGTGCTCAATTCCCTTCAGTTGCCATAAAGTTACAGTTTTATTGCTTACTTCTTTTCCTGCATGCCCAAAATAAAAGCCACCTGAAAATGTGAGGTATTGAAGAGGATGGAGGGGGGGGGGGTGGAGTCTTCAATATTTTATTCTTGAGGGGATTCAGACTGGGGACAAAGTAAAAATTTGAATCGCGGAGGTTTTTGCGTAATCAAGGTCCAAACTGTGCATTTGATTTTAATTCTTTCATTTTCCACAGTTGCGAGCTGCAGAGGTGAATATCCCTGTGCACAAGCCCGCCTTTGCTGGACTGCCAAGCACAGAAGTGGTGGCCAGTGACACAGAGCCAGTTTTGAAGCGCACAGAGCGCAGTGTCCCACCACCTGCCACTCAAGTGCACAAGATGAGAAGTGATGCCATGTTGAAAGAAGCCAGGGAAGCGTTTGATGCCCAGGTGGACAAGTTGTTTGCCGAGTGGGACGAGGAGGATGTGGCTGAAACGGAGGCTAGACTGCGAGACAATGTGCGGGAGCTCCTGCAGAGGCCGCTGCCTCCTGCTGCGGATCTGCTGGACAACAGCGTCATCTACCCGGACTATGATCATGTCCGGCCTGAAGATTACATGGGACGCACCGCGATGGAGAAGTTCATTGAGGAGTCGGAGGAGAGGAAGATTCTCACGCATCCTTTGGAGACTCTTTGGCAAATTCTCTGATGAAAAGGCATCATGTTGCTTTGATTCTTTCAATTCAATCATCAGTTGAGATATTTTAATGTTTATTTTGATGCATCATATTTGTATACAGTACAGTGAGGTTCTGCTGATGATATATTTGAGCTTGAGGGAAAAAAATTAAATATTGAGCCGCAGAATATATAATGCATATAATCAGAAAACCAAACTCAATCAACTGTTTTCCCACGGCAGTTGATTATTTTTTTCCCCCAAAAGTTGAAGAAGAATTTATTTTATTCAGCAGCAGCAGGGGCAGGAAATGTATATAATCAGAAAACCAAACTCAATCAACTTTCTTCCCACGGCAGTTGATTATTTTTTTCCCCCAAAAGTTGAAGAAGAATTTATTTTATTCAGCAGCAGGGGCAGGAATTGACATGCATATTACTGTACTATATAATACATGTACAGAAAAGTGGTACTGCTGCTGAACATTTCTCATCTCTTTTTTCCCATTTTATTTGCAGAAAAATTTGTCATCGCAATATTGTGTTGAAAGGATTTTTTTACAAAAGTATAAGCAAAATGAGTTCTTGTTGTTATTGCTGCTGCTGGGCATCATCATCATCAGCATTGAGTGCATTATTGCTATGGATGGTGATTATGATTATTGGTGGTGCTGCTGATGGAATCAATGTTGTTGGTGATGATGATGAAGGAAGGGGTTTAAGTTCCGAAATGGAGCAATACCTTCTCTGTCCTCACTTATTGTCTGTCAAGTATGGCAACTCTTCTGGAAAAGACCAGCCTGAAGATGTCCTTTACATCAAACATTTTGCATATCTTTCGTGCAAACACTGCAGTTGAAATTTTCCATTTAAGTTTCATTTGCACAGCATCAGTGACTGAAAAAAAATTAAATTCAAGAGTTATTTTAGAGTTTGGGGATTTTGGTTTTAGGTGATTAACAAAAAAATTAATGTTCAGTCCAAATTTTTAAACTGACCTGCTGCAGAGTGAAGGTGCTTTATTCATCATTTTGGAGGAACAATAAGAAGAAAATGCTTTGATTCATTCATTAATTTCCTACAGGACCACTATTATTATACTGTACTAATTTAAATACAGTACTGTATTCTAAAAATTGAGTCCTACATGATTAAATAGCAAATACTGTAGGTCCTCAGCAAATTGCCCAAGAAGGTTTGACCATGCACACAATCCAATAGGTGAGAGCTGGTTAAAAGTTGCATTGACTTTTTGAGAGGAATATTATCAAATGTTCAACTTTGAAATTGGAATTATGGAGATTTTAGACTCAAGGAGGCTGGATTTAAGCTGACATCATGCTAGCATCTCTGCTTATATATGCAGTGAGACCCCAATAAGAGATGCATATAAGTAATTGGTGCATCAAGAGTGTCATGTTGTCTTTATAAGTTGAGTATTGTTCTCACAAATGAAAGTCTTCCTGATGAAATTGGTTCAAAATTTCTCATGAGAATCAATTATCATGCACATGCAATTTTAGAAATGTGTACCTGCCTTTGATGCGCATCCCCTTTTTTCTTTTCAATTTTGAGGTGGAGAAAATGTGTGTGTGGTACTTGAGTAAATATGATAGTCTTGCAAAGTATTTGAAGCAAGGAATGATGTGTTTATTTGGATCATTGTTTTTGTTTGTTTTTGGTTGAGGAACAAACTGGCATCAAGTGAGTTGAAGCACATGACAGAAATGAACTCCCCTCCAGGGTTCCTCTTCTGGTTCCATGTTGACAGCAAGTGGCCTTCTGTAACAGCCTGGGAAAATGGCGGGAAAGCTGACATTTGGGCCAGGTTTGTATTCTTCAGATGCCCAGTCTGGTAGTAGTGATAATTCCCCTTCTCCCAACAGGCAAAACATGTCACCATCCACATTCCTTCAATCAAAGAAGAAATTGAACATTTTATTTTAAATATTGGTTGAAACTCCTCCCATCATCGATATTCATTTATTTTTTCATTGTTTAACTCATGAAAGTTATTCTTCATTTAGTTCCCACTGCTCTGCTTGTAACAGGGAAATTCTGCGGCTGTTCTCATTTGCAATCTTGCAGTTCCTGCTGTGGCCAATTATGTTGACAATATCTGACTCCAGCAGAGTCTTCCTTATTTGATTCATGTACATGTTCAGTATTGTATTATTTGTGAATGAGGTTTGCCAAGCATACAAAAAATTATTTTTCATTATTTAGGAGCACTTGCAGAAGATGAGATACAAAAAAAATAACTGGATGAAAGTTTTCAAACTGGAGTCAAATCTTATTGCAATAAGGATCAGAAGTGTTGAAATTAATCTTTGAATTCCACTATACAGTATAAAGAAACAATAGTAAATGAATATTGTTAAACTTTCTTCATGATAATTATTTTTCTCCAAATCCCTGCTGGAGCTTTTTTGTACAATGATGAATTGCATTTCTAATTCTAACTGCATAAAAAAATGGAAACTGTACTCAATGTTCCAGTTGGAGTTGATGATGATGGAAGACTTTGGGTAAAAGTCACCCTTTCTGGCAACCATTTCCGCACTGAAGGAATTGTTCTTTTCCAGTCTCAATTCCAGTCCTGTTCCTTGGAAATTTTTCTCAGGAAACAAGACAATCATCCTGCTGTTGGTCATCCAATCTTTGACTGAGCCAAATCTTTTTGCAGTGGCCTCTTTCACCTTTTTGTGGTGTTGAATCCTGGCTTGGCAGTGCTTTGACCCAGCTAACAAGTACTGATGGATGTTATTGTCACTGTTTGAGGCTTCAGTGCTGTGTACCCTGAGGAGCCATCTGGTGAGTAAAGGCTGAATTAATCAATTGATGGTTGAAGCTATTTTGGATGCATTTGCCTTATTTTATAAAGCAGTATGTCAGTACAGTATAACCTATGAATTAGCTTACAGCAATTATTCACATGCATATGCTGATACAGTACATCCAAAATACTTTGATTTAATGGTAATTAATTTACTTTACAAGCATAATTGAAACTAACTCAATTTTGTGAATACAGTACAGTATTTACATTAGTACAGTATAATAATAATGGTCCTGTAGGAATGAATGAATGAATCAAATCATTTTCTTCTTATTGTTCCTCCAAAATGATGAATAAAGCACCTTCACTCTGCCGCAGGTCAGTTTAAAAATTTGGACTGAACATTATTTTTTTTGTTAATCACCTAAAACCAAAAACCCCAAACTCTAAAATAACTCTTGATTTTAATTTTTTTTCAGTCACTGATGCTGTGAAAATGCAACTTAAATGGAAAATTTCAACTGCAGTGTTTGCATAAAAGATATGCAAAATGTTTGATGTAAAGGATGTTTGAAAACAAAAAAAAACTAACATGCCACGGAAGAAACAGGATGGCAAAGTTGATGATGCTGCTGCTGCAGCACTTGCATCTTCAGGCTGGTCTTTTCCAGAAGAGTTGCCATACTTGACAGACAATAAGTGAGGACAGAGAAGGTATTGCTCCATATTGGAACTTAAACCCCTTCCATCATCATCATCACCAACAACAACACTGATTCCATCAGCAGCACCACCAATAATCATAATCACCAGCAATAGCAATAATGCACTCAATGCTGATGATGATGATGCCCAGCAGCAGCAATAACAACAAGAACTCATTTTGCTTCTACTTTTGTAAAAAAAATCCTTTCAACACAATATTGTGATGACAAATTTTTCTGCAAATAAAATGGGAAAAAAGAGATGAGAAATGTTCAGCAGCAGTATCACTTTTCTGTAAATGTATTATACAGTACAGTATTATGCATGTCAATTCCTGCCCCTGCTGCTGCTGAATAAAATAAATTCTTCTTCAACTTTTGGGGAAAAAAAATAATCAACTGCCGTGGGAAAACAGTTGATTGAGTTTGGTTTTCTGATTATATACAATATGCATGTCAATTCCTGCCCCTGCTGCTGCTGAATAAAATAAATTCTTCTTCAACTTTTGGGAAAAAAAAATAATCAACTGCCGTGGGAAAACAGTTGATTGAGTTTGGTTTTCTGATTATATCATTATATATTCTGCGGCTCAATATTTAATTTTTTTCCCTCAAGCTCAAATATATCTTCAGCAGAAGCAGTAGATCACACCCAGCAAATAATTCACCCATGTCGTTACCCATGTATCACACACTTGGCAGTCACCCATGTTGGAATACAGGTACTGGAAAAAAGAACACCCATATTTCTCAACACGGATGACAAATAAACAGCTCATCACCAATGCACAGGTCAAATGGGTGGCATATGGGTGATTTATGGCTGCAAAATGGCTGATTATTTGCTGGGCATTCTGATTGATTCCAACATTTAAAAAAATACTGTACAGTATATAAAAACAGAGGCATATGATCTACAGTATTTGCTGCTGATGCGCAAATTCAGTATAAGCTTATATATATCATCATGAGACTTGAGCAAAATGGCAGAAATGAGTTCCGCTCCAGGGCTTGTCCAAAAGTTCTGCCACTTGTTGGGGTCTTGAGTAACACCCAGGTTCCACTTGAGGGAATAACTCCTGCTGCTGCTGCTGCTGATAATCATTATTGTTTTGGCTGTGGTTGCCCATCATCTTTTTGAGGGTTGCTGGTTTACTGATGTAGCCCTCAGAAACCCAATCAGAAAGGAAAACCACGTCGTTTCTTCCCAGCAAACAGAAAACGTCTTCTCCAGTGCTGGAAAATTTTATCATTATATTTTTTCACATATACTGTACCTATTTAGAAAAAATCAAAACAAAAGTATTTTTTGAAAAATAAAATTTGCCCTTGACAAGAGATTTTTCTGAACTATACAATAATATACAAAATGCATATGAATTAACACAATAATAATAAGAAAATATAGTACAGAAAATCACCCTCAGTTCATTTGCTATGAAATGCCACATCAAACCAAAATCAAGTTGACTATTCTTTTGAAAAAGAATTAGAGACAATTATTCTGACCAGCAGGAAAATTACAACAAAAGCAACAAAAAAAGAAACTCATATAGTATCATTGTTGCTATTTTGTTTGTGTGGGAACTGATGGGAATAACCCAACAAAAATATAATTAGAGGAGAGTTGGTACCTTGCAATTTGACCCTAGTCCAGCAACAGATTACATGTAGGGTCAAATTGCTAAAAGCGGTTGAATTGCAAGACAATGTCAATACTGTATATTATTGTCATGTTTTCTACATGGTACTTGACATTTCCTGTCTCTCCACAGGTTAAATTGCATGGCACAGGTCAAATGTAGAAAATTATAGTAGATTAGATCCGGACAAACAGACAGACAGACAAGAAAGCAAGTTAATAAAAACGTGTTAAATAACTGACCTCCCAGCAAATTTGACAGTTGAATTATTGTGGGATAGTGTCAAAGTGCAAGGTACCATCTCTAATTTTGTATGCAAAATGAATTTTGAAAAAATATGTGAAATCATCTATATTCTGCAGTTCTTTTAGGAAAGTACATCATTAATGTTTTTCTATATGCAACACATGTCATATGTGTTTAACATTTTAAAACATTTTATCTTAAATTAACAGCAAGTGCTGATAAAGACTGGGCTTCCATCACAATACTGCTGTACAGCAATAATGACTTGTGTGTATACAGCACAAGTATTTTCTTTTCTCCTGTAAGCACAAAATGTCTTGTTTGAGAGACATGCAGCTATAATAGTATTCATATTACTTGATGTTCCAGTCAGAGTTGATGACAATGGATGACATTGGGAAGAAGCCAGTGTCAAAATCCTCAATGTGGGAAACTGTGTCATTGTCAAACAATTTGATGTTGACTTGCTTTCCTTGGAACTTGGGCTTGGAGAACAGGATGATTTCCTGGGAGTTCATCCAGTGAGTGTAAGGCCCAAAGGACCTGGGGTACAATAAAATGCCTGCTCTTGAAGATGATGAGTCATTATTCAAGAGCATCATCATCAGCAGAGAGGCTTGTTTATCATCATCTGATGATGATGATGATGAGAGCTCTGTGACACAGTTTTGAGTCCCTGCTGCCACAAACATGGACTCCACCACTCCTTGTTGCCCCAAGCCAAATATCTTGCTCACATCTGTGTTGTAAGTTTTTCTGGGCACCAAGTGGATGACCCATCTGGACAATAAAGATTATAATTTCCATGTTCATTACCTAGTACAGTACAGTCAACCCCCGTCTAACGGACTTGATTTGTGCAAGGGGCGAGTCTGTTAGACGAAAAGTCATTTACACGAATTCAATTACATAAAAAATTAAAAATTTCAATTTTTAACACTAATTTTAAACCAAAAGAAGTCTGTTTGGTGGATTTAGTCTGTTGGGCGGGAGGAAAAATTGCTTGCAGAGCTGGTCTGTTTGGCAAAAATCCCTTACACGGGAGGTCTGTTAGGCAGGGGGCCACTGTATTATAATTATGCTTGTGTAATATTTATATTTCAAACTGTATACTGTATATATACAGGTTTTCATTCAGTTGATGAAACTCTCTTGAAAATATTCAAAAGAAAATACTCAATATCTTATTTTTTCATGAGCCAGAAATTCAGTTAATTATTCTGAACAGCTTTTAAACTGGCCAACATTTCCTGGGACTCCTTTTGCTATACAGTGACATTTCAAGTCTTTATTCTCAAATATTTGCAGGTTCATTAATTGCCTGATATGGTATATATGTACACCTACAGTATATGCAAATATGTATTTGTTTATCTAAAAAAAAAACAGATGCTTCTTGCTTTAATTCTGTAATAGGGGTTATATCCATCATCACTTCGAATGAAAAGTATAGAGTCAGTTTTTGCATAATATAGAGAAACAGTAGTTCAGTTATTTGAAGGCTTTGTGTATAACCCAGAAAGGAAACAAATATCCTCAAGTACTGCTGTACCTGTAATGTTTGCATTTCAGGCATGTTTTGTTAATCTAAATACAAACAGATTCACTTGCTGCAAAAGGACTTTTCCCCTCCAAGTTGCTCTCCTTCTCTTCAAGGATGAGAAAGGCATTGTTTTCCCTCATTGATGCAGCATTTCTTTCTTTTTATACCTTCATGTTCATGTCATCTGCATTGTAGTGCATATGACACTTTTGTTTAACCCTTATTGGACAGTGGAGGGTTCCTGGCCAACCTGTGGCAAAGTTGGATTTGGTGGGGGGGGGGGGGAGGGGATTTCAGTTTGACCAAATAAGGTCACTGAAATGTCCCCAAGTTGCCAAGGCCTAAAGTCAGGAACAATCTGGGTGCAGAAAATTCCTTTGTCTCATCAGGGAATCTGCAATGTTAAACCTATGCTAGGAATGCATTAAAAAACGCTACCCAGTGAATAATTTTTCATTTATTTTTGAAGTAAAATTTTCTGCAGGATTATTAAAATATATTGAATTTTTTCCTGACTTAGGCCTTGGTTCAAAAATCTTTTTTTTTTAATTGCAAAGCTCATGAGGACAAAAGTTGGCAAAAATATCCCAACTTTGCTGCACAAGGGTGAAGTTGGGCATATACTTTTTTTCTTTTCACTCCCAACATCAATGATTTATGATGTGTGCATCATCTATACTTATTTTCAAATTTGAAATCCAAGAGGAAATATTTCTCAAATGCATGCTGTGCATGTAAAAATTATTGTGGCTGCAGTATTGTATATATATTTGCGTGTATTAACCAGGTATTCATGAGGCTTGAAACTTATGAAGAATATGAAGACTCTTGGTCACTCTCAATTCCTGCAATTCTTATATGTATATTCCCCATCTCTCTGCTGGAGCCAGGGCCGGATTAAACCACATTTTGGCCTGATGCTGCACAAAAAATGGGCCTATAATGCGCCTTTGCAAAAACTAAATGTGATTTTTTCCTCGCACAGTGAATAATATAATTCTTAGATAACCTAGGATTGCTATAGCTAGAACTCAATCACACATAGATATTGTAGAATTTCATCAAAATTAATTTCATTACAATACATTTTTTATAATGAATTTTTCTTGTTCCTGGCAGTTTTCCATATAGGCACCATTTTATAGAAATCTCATTATAATGAACCCATTTTATTGAAGGAAAGGACACACCATTCAAATTTCTTGAGAAGCTAAAGATTTTTGTAGAGAAGGCTAGGTGTTGAAAAAAAATGCACAGCATGATACATTTCTTGGAAATTCTTCAAATAAATTCCACATTGTGTGCCTTTCTTTCATTCAAATAAACAGTATCCTAGAACTAGAAGATATGTTTCTCTATTTGAAAGCAGGCAGGTGTGAGCAAATGAGTCAATTCATAAGGAGTACAGAATTTATAACAGTACAAAGGTAGGTTTAATGAAAGACAATATCTATTTCTTTTAAAAGCTTTCTGTTAAATTCATCAAATTACTGCACTTATAGCAATCATGTTAGGTCTTGAATTATCTGTTTTAGATGCACTCTGCAGTTATATATAGCCCCTTTTCCAATGAATTTCTGTTTGAAATATGTTTAAAAAACAATCAGAAGACTACAACATGATACTCTATGTGCTCTAACACATAAAACTAAGTACAGTAAAATTGAGATTTAATTTGAAGTGCTTGGTTAAGTGGACACAACAATATAGTTGTTCCACTCATGGTACAAAATATGTACATGTTCAATTAGATTCATAATGATGAAGTACATATGTGTCTGCTGTGTGAAATGTAATTTCTCATCCCAATTTCAACTTCAACTTGGATTGCATGTCAAAAAGTCATCCACTTATTCCATTTATTCAAAAATTCACAGAATTTTAACCCATGGGCTGATAACTTGTGATATTTTTTTATGTTGTGCCTGATAAGCACTTATTGAAATAAATAAAAATTGCTTTTCTGCATGGATGAACACTAAAGTGAAGAAAAAGTTCAATATTTTTTCTGATCCTGCCAAAAATATTGAGAAAGATTCAGAAATCTTCTGAAGTTTCTCAGTGACATCATTAAAAAAAACTTTGTGTTCACATTAGAATGCAGTGAGAGGCTCCACAAAAAAATCAAGAGAAATAATCTTCATAAACATGGAAATCTCATGCTTAATTCCAAATTTTCAAGAAAAAAAATATTGCAAGGGTGGGGGATCTGCTTGTGTCCCAGGATGCAAGGTGGAAAAGTTTTTTTAGGGGCGGGGTGTTCAAAAAAGCATCTCCCCTGCAAAACAGGGATACCTCAATTTACAGAACCCAGGGCAACAATGCCAAATAAAGGGAGGGGGATTTGTCTAAGGAGTCACAGCAGGGAATGCTACGCTTTAAAAAATTATTTTTTTCAGATCACAAGTGTTGATAAATTACTGATGTTTCAGAAATAAAGAAGCATACTTTTTTAAACACCAGCAAGAAATCACTTCAGACAAATGTTGAGGCCACCAGCAAAGGCTTTTTGAGTGGGAACAGCAGTGAAAATTTTATCCCGTCAGGCAGGAAGGCATGGTTGGAATTGAAATCTTTTATTGAATTTTCTCCTGGCTATGATTCCTTGTCATTGCATCTTCCTGTTTCTGGCCATATTGGCCTTGATTTCCTTTTTTAATGCAGAAATGATTGTGGGCTCTCAACTGATTTTCATGTCCTACATCTGGTTTCCTCTTCAAAGGTTTTTACGTGTGCAGTGTGCTGGAATTGATTTGTTGGTGCCTGATTTTTTTCACCATGAAAACTTTTGCCTCTTTCCTGTTTTTGCCAGATTTTCATAATTGAAAAAAAATTGATTTCCCAAATTGGGGAATTTTTTTTTTCAAATTCTCCAGGGGCCTATTTTTCCTGTGGGCCTAATGATGCAGCATCAATAGCACCCACCTTAATCCGGCCCTGCTGATGAACGCTGAAAAGCTCAGTTCTGCAACAAATGACTGAGTTTCCCTTCGAGTCGAAATTCAGCTTTTCACCGCTCTGAGTTCTCGCGACGTCATGCTTAAAAATTCATGTACAGTACTGTAGGTTTAAAAAATGTTTTCGTGCATCAAACTTTTAGTACCGTAGATTGGATAAGCGCATTTTGATTTCTGCTAGTAAAAGTATGGCTTTCCAATAGTTTCTCGTAAAAATTGGAGCGCGAATTTTATCCAGCGTCTTGAGGCACACGAGTTCTTCACAATACTAATCACACAGTTCGAGACATGAAATGAAAAATTGCTATTTATTTTTGTGGTGACCAGGAATTCAGACGATTAGAATTTTCTATAAAAAAAAAGATAAATTCCCTGAAAGATGATCAGATTAAAAAAAAAGTATGGAGATGATCCGAGGGGAAAAAAGTGAGAAACTCACCGACGGATCACAGAACTAGTCATCGAATAATTGGTAAACGCTCGTGACTTAGTTTCTGCTTCCTCGTCACTGTATTCATCCTCAGAATCCTCATCATCATCACTATCGCCACTCTCTTCCTCATCATCTCCAGGTGCTGCACAGGCTTGCATCACGAAATCATCTTCGAGTTCATTCTCCGGGTCATCAAAATTGAAATCATCGTCAAGCGCAGCTGCAACATCGGGGTCGAAGTCTAGCCGAGGTCCTGAAATCGGTGCGGCTCTGTTCAACATCCCGACTTTTTCTTTGACAGCAGACTCGAACACAGACGATGGAAGATTCAAGTTTTTTCCAGATGAACGCGGGGGAACGGGATCGATTCGAAACCTGGAAGCAAAGGTAATGACTAAGTAGGCTCGGCAGAAAATGATCACGAGTGAAAATACTTCACTGAGTCCCCGAATAACGAAGGACACACGAAACGTAAAATTCGCATAAAAAAATTCTTAGATGGAAAGAATGGACTCGCATGACAAAAATTATTGACCAAAATATGCATGGTAATAATTGATCAAATTTCACTTTAAATTTAGGAATTTTCCCAGAAATTGAGAGTAATGAAAAAGGAACATAGCTTCGCATTTTCCTATACATATAAAAGGTTTGGGGAATGCAGAACGTTAGGAGCAAGAGTTATAAGCCGGAATACTTCAATTTCATGCTGAACAATATTAAATTATCAATTTTCTGCTGACAAAAACACACAATTTACTGGCTATTGCGGTCTTTTGGTGAGTGACTGGAATCGATTACATCAAAACTGTACAATGTAATTTGGGAAAACGCGTTTCACACAACGAAATTTCTGCATCACAAAACTTAACACGAAACAGAAAAATTTCGTTTTGGGGTAACCCCATTTACAACCACGCAAAGTCCCATCAATTCTACAAGGTTACGTCTTCAGGCCCTCGACCTGAAAATATATCTCAATGTTAGGTTATTTAAAAATCATTCCTCAATAATTCAACTTCGAATGGAATGTTACGACTGAAAATATTATGAAAAGTAGTAGCAAAAATGAAATAATACTGCACGTGGAATGTGCAGTCATTCCTTGTCCAAAACATATCAAACATCAAACCTATCTTTAGAATGAAAAATCATTTCAATTGGTGCGCATTCATTGATGAACCAAAAAACTAGCATTAAGCACCTCAATCTTATGGACATCAATTATTAGACACACATAAATTATTATTCAAAATTCGATTAAAAAATTCGTCGCGGAAATTGTACATAATCTTAAAAAGTCGTATAACTAACCGTTCAACGGGTTCGAGTTCAGCGCGGAATTCATCTGTCGTACGCAGATGCTGCAAATAGTCGTAGTCATCATCGAAATAGACGCCATACTTTCTTTCTTCTTCTTTCCGCTTTACGTACGATGGATCATTTTTCAGTCTTTTGGCAGGAGCAGCCTCCAACAAAACTCGGTCAGGAGCATTTTCGTCAACAACTAGGGGATCTCTTTGACTTCTGTGCACTAAATGAAAAGTTACTGCCTTTTTCTTGTCGATAAATTTCCGGCTTTTCTTTCCCATCTTCACGTGGGAAAATGCCTGTTTTGATTGGGGTGAAAATTTATTTTTGAGTCAGGGATCTCGGCGAATACTGGGGGCTATTCAAAATTTTAAACGCCGCTCAAAACACTAAAAATTCACAGCACGGAACGGCGCACGTAGGTTTCCGCGTCCTGCAAAATTGGGATAGTGACATGAATACAGCATGGAAAACAAAAAACGTCAACAGTTCACAGCTCATCGCCAGAAAAATTTAGTGCTAAATCATAAATTCAACGCTACGGCTTTCACAAAGGCAGCAGCATTTTTAAAGAAACTAGCGATTCTTGTTCAATGCGGCTGCGGTACGTGGCCATCCACATAAAAATTCCGGGTGGCACGCGGAAGTTCCACTTTCAAACCATCCAATTCTTTCGTTAAAACTATTTGACACCCCAGCCTGGAATTTTCCTTCAGATATGGAGCCATGTCTAATAAATCATCTTCTGTTTCGTCTGCCGGGGGTAATACTCCGAGGTGATTTCCATGAACGTACACATGACAAGTCGTGCACGCCTTGGATGCTTCACAAGCTCCTTCCATTTCAATCCCATACCGATGAGCTAAATAAAGCAGATTATCCCCAACTTTTCCACGGATTTTGAAGCATGAACCGTCTTTCCTTTGAAACGTAACGTTTACAACTTCATCTTCAGATTTGGGATCCTGCATTTCAAATTCACCATGCCGAAGGCTTCGTGAAACGTGGATATCCCGACGAAACAGAGTGCCAGCTCTGTAAAGAAAGCGTCCCACGGCACCCACGTTCAACATTTGGAATTCACTAGAAAAACTTAACTCCTTCAACTCCACCGTGGTTCATCACCTCAGCTTTTCCGCGACTTTGAAGAACACTCAACACTTTCAAAAGTAGATCACGATCTAATCCGACACAATCGTGACCTTCGGCGACTTCTTCGTCCACCAACTCGCTGAACGTACAAACGGTGTTTGAACGACCCGTCTGTTCAACCCAATGGTAAATCGAATCCGCCAAGTCTTGCGGCTTCTTCCAGTAGATGAAGCAGCTTTCTTTCTTCTTATCTACCCACTCGAGAAGTTTCCGCTTTTCAAGTTCATCCAAGACTTGCTCTATTCCATCCGCAGAAAGTTTGCGGTTTATCGAAACGTTCTTGAATAAAGATGACGTCGACACTTCATGCACGTTGATTTTATACTGCTTTCTGTGGCGGAAATAGTCGAGTATCAACTGACACCAAAGATCCAGCTGTTTTTCCCGCGTTGCCGAATTAGGCTGAATAGTGAAGAACGGAGGAAAACTGTATTGCCACGGCCATCCAAACTCCACCATGATATCGAAAATTTACGATAGTTAATCTAGAAGGCAGAACACGATTTGAAGACAAAAAGTACGTCACAAGTTGTTCAGTGCTACGCAGAAAATCCAGCAGATTCGGAACTCGAGAAAAAAATAAAAATTGGCTAACTCCGCACAAGACAAAAATAGAACTGGATTCCACATTCAGTACTGTACAGCTAGCCAAGTGGCCTCATCTCTTTACTTACTTAAATTTAATCGCCGAACCCTTCCAATGAAGCAAACAATAACAAGTGGGAGAGGAAGCGGGTACCTCAGTTCTAAAATACTGATCTTGAACCTATACCGTACTTCGACCCACACTAGTTCCTTGCTTCTGGCGCAACTACTGTACTGTATACATTATTTTGCATTGACCCCGTTATCAATTAAGGTATTCTATAGCTGTAGAGGACTTAAATGCACAGTATCTAAATCACACTACAGACATTTTACTTTTCAGATTATCAGGTAACTAAGTGAACCATCTGAGCCTGCATGAAAGTCACTGAGATCCAAAAATCCTCATGATGGAGTTAAGAGAAACGTAAATGGAATTAATTAACGAAATAGCAAGTTACGAAAATTCATCCACGTCTCTCTTTCAAATGAAGTCGAAATTATTTTATTTAGTAGGGAGGTTTACAAAATACTTAATTAGTCCTTTTGTTTGAGACGACAATTTGATCATGGAGAGAGACTTACGGTTTTTAAAAGTGAAAGATACCGTTCTCTTGATCCTTTTTCCTCGGTAGAATTCAATTAATATCAGAGAATCTTGGCAGTACAGTACTCGGTGCGCGCAAGGGAGAGTAGGTAAGCTGAAGGGTAAGTCAGGAGGTGTGATAAATTCTTCTGGGCTTTTCCACCATCCATTTCTGGGAAGGATGGGCGTCGGCCGACGTCGTGTGAAGGACATTCGAATGTGCCTCATGGCCGCTCCCTTGTGCATCGTCAATTCCCCGGTTTCAAGTGCGAAGTGGACATTGCCGTTGATAGAATTCGGTGATGCTGTGAAATTTTCGGGTCATTCGCGTCAATTTCGAAGAATTTTTGGTGTATTAAGATCGTGGAGAGATCGTACCTAGGTTGAACCGTTGGAATTTTGTGTTGTTCTTAGTGTTTGCCTGTTCTGACGAATTAAATTCTGTCCCACTGTTAGATAAACGAAATCAGCTGGAAAGTTTTTATTGAGGTAGTTGAGCGCTCGCATTCATCTCACCTGGTAGTGCACCGCGTCTATTGGTAACGAAGCTATTAAGTGGCATATTCCGGAGCCACTTCTCATCTGAGTGCTTGTGAACGGAAGATCTAAATCTCAGATCTCGAAATGTCGGAGCGAGAGGATAACGTGTACAAGGCGAAGCTCGCCGAGCAGGCTGAGCGTTATGATGGTAAGAAGATCGAATTCTATGCAGAGATTTTGACTTCAGTCATCAACCTTATTACGTACAGAAATGGTGGATGCAATGAAGAAGGTGGCCTCCATGAATTCCGAACTCTCTGTCGAAGAACGCAACCTGCTCTCCGTAGCTTACAAAAACGTTATTGGAGCTCGAAGAGCGTCCTGGAGGATCATCTCTTCCATAGAACAGAAAGAAGAGAGTAAAGGTGCTGAGGACAAACTCGAAATGATCAAGCAATATCGTTCACAAGTTGAAACCGAACTACGCGATATTTGTAACGATATCCTCGATGTGTTGGACAAGCATCTCATCCCTACAGCTACCACCGGAGAATCCAAAGTATTCTACTACAAAATGTGAGTCGACTATTCTTTTTTTAATTATGGACGTGATTGTGATTCCTGAATGTCTCATCATTACAGGAAAGGAGACTATCATCGATATCTTGCGGAGTTTGCGACCGGAGGCGACAGGAAAGATGCCGCTGAAAACTCGTTGGTGGCATACAAATCTGCTTCGGACATTGCAATGACGGAGCTTGCTCCCACGCATCCGATCAGGCAAGTCATGCGCTAGTGATTCAATTCGTATAAATTCTGTTGACAATTTCTGTTCTTTGCTTAGACTGGGTTTGGCACTCAACTTCTCAGTATTTTACTACGAGATTTTGAGCAGTCCGGACCGTGCTTGCCGCCTTGCAAAGGCCGCCTTCGATGATGCAATCGCGGAACTCGACACGTTGTCTGAAGAATCCTACAAGGATTCCACGCTCATCATGCAGCTTCTGCGCGACAATCTGACCCTGTGGACTTCGGACATGCAAGGAGAAGGTAAGTTCAATTCAATCCGTCTTATTTCCATGCTGCCCCAGAACTACAGCGAGATACGTAATTTTATGTACCATTGCGGCATCACTGGTTGGGGAGAAAAGAGCAATGAATTTGACTGTACCCTGGAACTGATTTTCACAAGAAAAAGAGGCTGAATTTTCTCTCGAATTTTTCAAAGATATGTACAGTACTCAATTATGACTTTCGTCCGTGTTTTTTTTTTTTGTGGCCGAATCGGGAGGAAAAAAATTTGCTTGGTGCTGTGATAGTTGGCCACGGGTGTCGATTGCGTAGAATTTTCTAAAAACTACGATATCTGATCAAATTTGGAATGACGAGACAGTAGATTCAATTCCTCGCAAATTTCACGAAAAGAATGTGTGCTCTCGAGAGAAAATGAGCCTCTTCGTAATATCTTACCTGATTTATGTAAGCGAATGCAGAACACGCTTGACTAAGGCATATCGTGAAAAAATCTTAAGTACCAATCCCATCCGCTCGAGAAAAATAAATAATGCAAGTGGGCCGGCTACTATATGTGATACGATACGATTTATTCAGCAAGCGTTTTGTGGGCAGTGTGGAAATTCAGTTTTTGGAATTTAACACGATTCGAGTGGCATTTACTAAACTGAAATGTTCGTGTAGGGGAGAACGAGAACCGAGATGAAGTTCAGGATGTTGAAGGTGAAGCCCAACAACCTGCCGCTGCTTCAGACGCCGCATCGTAATTCTAGTGATTTCCTCTACCGCGAAGGGGCTGATCTGAGGCTGAGTGGGATTGAAGCATAACTGAAGAACGAGTTGTGAAACTGTGAACTCCTTTAATTTAAAGCGTGTATGGTCGTGCGAAAACTTAAGAAGTTTGTTCTTGCATTTGATCTAGCGTGAAACTCGGCTTTCTTCCTTTTTTTTGTTGCTTGATGCGTGGGTTTGATCAGTATTTTATACGAATAGTAACGGGACGATCTTCGCGTTGGCAGGAGTTTGTGGAACCACCAATGTTCGTTTCTTCGTCTGTTTGTGTTTTCTTCTGTCTTCTCGTCTTTCTTTTTTTCTTGCTGAAGGCGGAATTGTAAGATATCTATGTCACCTCTTCCGTTTTTTTTTTCTTTGTTTTCTGGAAGAGAAATTCTGTTTTTAGTCCGAGTTGGTTGTGTGGGTCAGCCCCTGGGTTCTTCTTCACTTGAGGCGCCCTTGCTGTAATGGAAACTCAATTGCTTGGTAAGAAATCTCACGAGGAACCTGTTGAAAGAAAGCTGAGTGCTTTAGCGCTGGTTCGCTTCACGTTGGGAAGAGCCCAGTTTTATCCTGACTGAATCAAACACCTTATTACATTTTGTGATTCGTACATTGTTTGAAGTTGTTGAATTATCCTTTGCATGCGTTTAGAATGTAGAAGGGTTCGTTTCTGTTCTACCCCCGCGTGTCCCGGGCCCGAGATTCTTATTCTACAGTACGTTTCTTAATCGGGTGTCTCGTCTGAATTTATTTTCCATGTTCGTGGCAGGTCAGATCAGGTTTAGGCTTCAACTGTCCAATTTTGAAGACTTTAAAATCGGGGGTAGAACATAAAAGTACCACTAAGAGGAACAAGGTTGCCTTTTCAGTCCCGACTAGAGAGTTAGTTAGAGAACTTTCGTTTGGTTTTTTTTAATTTTATTTTTGTTTCGGCTTGAAATCTTAGCAAAGTTGAAGCAATGCTACCAATGAACTGCTTTTTGTAGCCGCACGCGTGCTGTTTCATTAGAGACCGTCGATGTACTTGTGAGTTTCTACGGGAGTTGTGCGTAGGCAAGAGTTGTGCATCAGCTTCGTGCGTGAAACCAAAGATGAGAAGAATTCGTATTCCTGAACATTTGGCCCGCGACAGGGTCCCGATGTGGTGTTTTTACGTCAATAGCCCTGCACTTGTTTTTTTTTTTTTTTGTTGGTTGAGTTGGATGCATTCCTGTTCGTGACGGGTTGTGTAGTCGATGTTCTGCTCTTGGAAAGAAGAAGACATTTTGCGTGTGTTGGAAACCTAATCGTCGTCGGAAAAAAAGATAAGCGTTTCTATGTTCATAAAACTTGTAATACGTTGAGATGCTGTCGGGCGCAGTCTTGTGTCGCTCATGCGCAACCTTCCGATTCCGATAGATGGATATCTAGATAGCTGGAGGGTGGGGAGGGGAAATGATTTTCTCTCTTTCCAGACCGAGTTTCTTTTTTCCCCCCACCTCCTTCCCAGAGAATGACTGATCTGAAGAAGCCAAGAAAAATCGGATTTGGTTGACTTCTCTGGTTCCGGAACCCCGGCAAGGGGGCTTGTGCATTGAGTTTGGGATGAGTGGTGCGGGCTGTGGCCCCGCGGCAGCCGTTGGATCTTATTTTACGAACTTTTGTTTGGTCTGGTATCTTGCGGACTTAAGAATGAAGGAATTCCGGGAATAACCTCGTGCGTTTCCAAATCATTTTTCGCGTCATTTTTGTTGCACTTATTCATAGCAGGATGAAAGGTTACACTTTTGTTAGTATGCAACATCGACGAGACCAAAGGGGAAACCCCGAATTTGGTTCGTGCAACAATTTTTTTCCTGATTTGGAAGTGGAATAGCGTTTGTAATTCGATGTAACCTCGTAACGATATCCATCATAGAAAAGTTGAACGCATCTGACCAAAAAAAAAAGTTTGGTGCTGCATTGAAGTGGCCCGCCAAGTCACGATCAACTGGATGTTACTTCATGCGAAGTGCACTAGAAAATTTTGGCAGATATACGGAGGAAGAATGAATTTGTTCTCATTTTTTGGACATGACTTGCAGTATAGGTAATTTTTGTCAAACCCAGTAGAACTTCGTGTTGATGAGTACCCATCTTTTCCTTTTTTTTTTTTTTTTTTTAGTTTTTTTCAGAAATTTAAGAGGGACGACCGAAAGATTACATTACTTGCACTATACTCCCTATTTCTTACAACCGGAAAATATTTGAGAAATAGGCCTCATGAACCGATTTACTGCAACTCATTTCGAAAGATCAGGATTACTATTTTCTGCTATGGAATTCTTGAGCACCTGTTGATGAAAATCTCCAAAAATCCAACCAAATGCCTCGAGAAGTTTTTGATCAAGATATATGTTTGATTTTTTTAGTGAACTGCCGGATTTTATCTTCTGTTCTCTCTGAAATTAACTTTTATAATGACGAATTAATGTAAACTTATCCTGGTTAATGAAATTACTGTATTTTCCATAATTCAAATTGGAGAGTTTACGGCCTCCTGCGTAGTACAGTACTTTACATGTCCTTGTGTCTGGTACCTCACTTGAAAAACAACTCTGTTGAGTAGCTCTTTGGATTAACTGTACTAATTGGGAATTCAGGACTGCAATGAAAAAAGACGAACATATTTTGAAAGAACACGTCTTTATTCTACCATTCCACAACAGCTAGAAATATTTGAACAGGTATCACATTTTCATAGCTTGACCCACGAGCATTTGATCTGCTTCTTCTCTACTTCGTCTGCCTCACTTGTACCGATTGGAGATCTGAAAATAAAATAAATGGGTAGACAACAGGTTTAGTAAAATATCGAAATGAATCAATTTAACTTCATTTTTTGAGAATTCAGGGGGAACAAAACGTGACTGTGCAGTGGGTGGGCTGAAGTAAATTTGGTAAGTGAATAAAAAAAAGTTCTTTACATTTACCTCGACCTTGCAACAGCGGATGCTGGAAACATCTCATGGATCCAAAAATATACGTTTCAAACCGAAAATTGGGCATTGCTTGAATGCTGAGCACAGTTACAACTTACAATATGGACACCTTTAATAAGAGATTTTTAGCTCTCTGACACTAATTTAATTTCGGCTTCAACATTTTTTTTTTTAGAAAAATTACTATTATTGCACTCATCTCCAAAAAAAAGGAAAATGGAGGAACAGTTGGGATCACATTCTTTGAGAGTTTTTGCGTTTGGGCGCTTGGCTTTATTTGTGTCGGCTAATCTGATGAAATTATTTTCTGGATACATTATTAAAAACTGTTTGTAATTCATTAATGTTATACTTGCAGGAAGATTCCTGATTCCTTTTTTGAAATAATTTTTGGTTCCATAGGATTCTCTTCCCTTATTATGAGGTTCTATCTAAAAAAAAATTCTCCCTACAACACGTGTTCTTTTGGGCCCCTTAAATTTTGTTATAGAGGGAGTCCATTTGTGTAAAGAAAATAATTTGCAGATCTTTTCTTGGTTTTCTGGAACATATTTTCTAAATTTTAGCATCACTTCAACAACTATAGAAGGCCTCAACACTTTGACAAAGGGAAATTTTTTGCAAAAAGTTATCAGTAGGGGAGTATCAGATTTCATTGGACTCATACACACATGGGGCAGGGATTATGACCAAATTCCAAAAATACGCTGATCTAGACTTCACAAGGTATCCAACTGTATAAAAGTAATCAATAAAAATGACAAACAACTAACTTCCCAACGAATGTCACGGAGTCATAGTCAGTTGTCATACCCGCACCCACTCTCCATCGCTCCACGCCATTCCAAGCAATCATGATCCCGTTGTCCGTGCACAATTTTGGCGGTGGGATTTTAATGTCATACTCATACGCATCGCAGACGATCCCCAGTTTACTTCGGATGTACTCGTTGCATGCCACTCCTCCGCTCACCACCTGGCGGGCATTTGGAGAAACAGATGAAAAGAAAAAAGTAAGGAAAAAAGGGTCTTCGGAGACACGCCTCAATTGTTCAACACACACCGACCGCATTGTGGAACACACCCTAATAGGAAGAGAGTTCAGTGCATACAGTGTATAAGGTGAGGAATGTTGGGGAATGTCTGAGGCATTGGGCTTCATTTGCATTCCAGACTGACAGCCCATCAGCAGCAGAGGATGAGTTCAAAGCTGGGAGTTTTGAGTTTATATCACCACAATAGCTGCCTGTTACTTGATACTGTATCTCTATTATTAGAAAAAAAAAATGCCATGCCGAGGTAATCTTGTTGCAACAAATAACTCGCAAGCACTGAAATATGATTAAAAATAATACATACAATTCATTCAACAAATTTTTTTCAATAGGTTCCCAATTATCAGATGTTCACTTGTAAAACCCCGATTTTGTGTTTTCTTGGGTCAAATCAAAGTATTTTTAAACTAAAGAAAATTTTCTCAGCAGAAGAACAGAAAACGCTTCTGTAGTGAAAAACAGTGTCAGAAAATGTATTGATTCATTCAGAACTTATTTCCAATTCAAACTTTGAAATACAGTTGAACCTTTCCAAGTCAAATTTTAAGGGACTTCCAAAAAATTGAGTGCAAATTCTCAAGTAGGGGGATTTGCTTTGCTTACATGGGGTAATTGATGGAAATCATTTTTTGGTTCATTTATTTTAACTCTTCATTATTCAAACATTTCCCATCTGCAAGGAAGATGTTCAGTCCCCATTATTGAAGATCACATATAAAGAATTGTATACATCCCTTCTCATGGGTGTGAAAATGTAGCCCCAACTTGATAATAAAAGGCCTTTAATTTTGATGAAAGATGTTTGACCCATTACATGAGTAAGAAGGGTTTAAATTCCATTGGACTAAAGGGAACAGTTAGATTTTTTTTAACCAGTGTTCAGTTGTATTACTCTGCTATTTTTACTTCTGAAAAAAACAATCTTAAATTACCATACAGTATTTCTGAATAAATTTAGAGGTACTGGTACATCAATGTGCTGCATTTTTCAGATAATTTTAGGATATATTATTGGGGTTTTTGTGGTTATTTTTGAACTGTATATCTGTATACTCATTGATTAAATTTCAACTTAATTATTTTAGAGGTGTAACTTCAGCTGTATCAAACTTCCCTGGATCAAAAACTTTTTTACTCCAACTTTCTAGATAATAATTGCAAAAAAATACAATAAAACACTTCCAAAATTAATCCATCATCTACTTTGTACCTGATGAATCATAAAAAACATTCAAGCTTTCAAACAAACAAAAACAAGAAAAAAAGGGAGGCGACCAAGTAGAAATGATTGACGCGGGAAGTAAACAATTTTTCTAAAGCAACATCATCCGTTGATAAATTAATCCGATAAGCCAGCGCAAGAAGGAAGGTATTTATGGCGCAATTTGAGGTACTGTGAAGCTGTCAGAAGTTATATGGACGCCGCATTCCTCAAGAAATAGTTAAAAAACAAAAGGCAACCACCATGACCAGTGGGAAGCAGAGAAGCGGAATTCAGGCGGAAGCAACAGGGTTTTAATGAGTGAACCAAGTTTATGGAGTCCAACAAAGTTTTCCCCCAACCTCCAAGAAAATTTACTGCAAGACTCACTCTAACATTTTCCATGACCCCATGAATGTGAAGGGATTAGGAAACTGATGGCGGGATTTTTGCACCATGAGGAAACAGCAAAGTTTCTCAAGAAAATAATGATGCTTGGCGGAATTTATTTTATATGAGGTAATTTTTTTTTATGGATGAGACTCCAATTTCCCCCAAGGATTTTAAGCATTTTGAATAAAAATAACTAATATTTATTACAATGGAAATGCCATTGTGCCCAAAGAAGGAATCTAAGGCACAGAAGCTCACCATTCACAATTTTCTGCTATTTTTCCCACAATAAAATGCTTGTTTCCCTAATTTGAAGGTACTTTCCTGTTATCTCAGTACCTCATTCCTAGACCGCACTACCATCCAGACAAATCTTTAGGACAAGTTCATAATCACAATGACCTACCAGAAACTGTGAATTTTATTTTTCTGCATTCTGAAACTGTACTAATTGGGAATTCAGGACTGCAATGAAAAAAGACGAACATATTTTGAAAGAACACGTCTTTATTCTACCATTCCACAACAGCTAGAAATATTTGAACAGGTATCACATTTTCATAGCTTAACCCACGAGCATTTGATCTGCTTCTTCTCTACTTCGTCTGCCTCACTTGTACCGATTGGAGATCTGAAAAGAAATAAATGGGTAGACAACAGGTTTAGTAAAATATGGAAATGAATCAATCTAACTTCATTTTTTGAGAATTCAGGGGGAACAAAACGTGACTGTGCAGTGGGTGGGCTGAAGTTAATTTGGTAAGTGAATAAAAAAAAGTTCTTCACATTTACCTCGACCTTGCAACAGCGGATGCTGGAAACATCTCATGGATCCAAAAATATATGTTTCAAACCGAAAATTGGGCATTGCTTGAATGCTGAGCACAGTTACAACTTACAATATGGACACCTTTAATAAGAGATTTTTAGCTCTCTGACACTAATTTAATTTCGGCTTCAACATTTTTTATTTTAGAAAAATTACTATTATTGCACTCATCTCCAAAAAAAAGGAAAATGGAGGAACAGTTGGGATCACATTCTTTGAGAGTTTTTGCGTTTGGGCACTTGGCTTTATTTGTGTCGGCTAATCTGATGAAATTATTTTCTGGATACATTATTAAAAACTGTTTGTAATTCATTAATGTTATACTTGCAGGAAGATTCCTGATTCCTTTTTTGAAATAATTTTTGGTTCCATAGGATTCTCTTCCCTTATTATGAGGTTCTATCTAAAAAAAAATTCTCCCTACAACACGTGTTCTTCTGGGCCGCTTAAATTTTGTTATAGAGGGAGTCCATTTGTGTAAAGAAAATAATTTGCAGATCTTTTCTTGGTTTTCTGGAACATATTTTCTAAATTTTAGCATCACTTCAACAACTATAGAAGGCCTCAACACTTTGACAAAGGGAAATTTTTTGCAAAAAGTTATCAGTAGGGGAGTATCAGATTTCATTGGACTCATACACACATGGGGCAGGGATTATGACCAAATTCCAAAAATACGCTGATCTAGACTTCACAAGGTATCCAACTGTATAAAAGTAATCAATAAAAATGACAAACAACTAACTTCCCAACGAATGTCACGGAGTCATAGTCAGTTGTCATACCCGCACCCACTCTCCATCGCTCCACGCCATTCCAAGCAATCATGATCCCGTTGTCCGTGCACAATTTTGGCGGTGGGATTTTAATGTCATACTCATACGCATCGCAGACGATCCCCAGTTTACTTCGGATGTACTCGTTGCATGCCACTCCTCCGCTCACCACCTGGCGGGCATTTGGAGAAACAGATGAAAAGAAAAAAGTAAGGAAAAAAGGGTCTTCGGAGACACGCCTCAATTGTTCAACACACACCGACCGCATTGTGGAACACACCCTAATAGGAAGAGAGTTCAGTGTATAAGGTGAGGAATGTTGGGGAATGTCTGAGGCATTGGACTTCATTTGCATTCCAGACTGACAGCCCATCAGCAGGCAGAGGATGAGTTCAAAGCTGGGAGTTTTGAGTTCATATCACCACAATAACTGCCTGTCACTTGATACTGTATCTCTATTATAAGAAAAAAAAATGCCATGCCGAGGTAATCTTGTTGCAACAAATAACTCGCAAGCACTGAAATATGATTAAAAATAATACATAAAATTCATTCAACAAATTTTTTTCAATAGGTTCCCAATTATCAGATGTTCACTTGTAAAACCCCGATTTTGTGTTTTTCTTGGGTCAAATCAAAGTATTTTTAAACTAAAGAAAATTTTCTCAGCAGAAGAACAGAAAACGCTTCTGTAGTGAAGAACAGTGTCAGAAAATGTATTGATTCATTCAGAACTTATTTCCAATTCAAACTTTGAAATACAGTTGAACCTTTCCAAGTCAAATTTTAAGGGACTTCCAAAAAATTGAGTGCAAATTCTCAAGTAGAGGTTAGGTCAGGTAGTTCAAAGATATTTTTAACTAACATAACCTGACCTAACCTAACTTTACCTAACCGCCTCCCAAAATCAGTTTCAGCAGAAACCCAAAGAAAGCATAAATTTATTTTGGGAGGCACTTGGGTGAAGTTAGGTTAGGTCAGGATAAATTGGTCAGAGGGAAGGTACAGAGATAACAGGAAAGTAGGTACTGAGATAAGAGGAAAGTACCAACTTGAATTCTTTTGCTACTCCCTTAAAATTCTACTTAGAGGGGGCTTGCCTGTACATTATTCCAAAACTCAAAAAACCCCTAGTCACTTCACCCCCCCCCCCCCCTAAGAATCCTTTCAAATCCAACCCACAGAGTTCCACTGGTATTAATTGAGGTATAAGAGAAATAGGGTAGGATGTTTAAACTGACCACCAGAGCTGTACAGGTGACACATTATAAATGCATGCCACCAAATTAACAAGACCAGGAAAGAACAACTATACACAGTAGTCTGAAACCCGGGAATGTGGGTAAATACATGGGGTCACGTTTGCTCAAACGTCCCCTGAGGAAACTCCACCCGAGGGAGAGTTAGCTCTATGTGTTAACAGAATACAAGGGTTGGTTCCTAAATTTTGTCAGTATATGCTGTTCCTTTCCACATAAATTCCAATAATCAGCGTGCCAAACTGGGGGGCCAAAGGAGGAAGAAAAAAAAACTGCACATTATGACTCATGGATAAGAATGACTTAGCTAAGAATTTAAATTTATGATACAGTACTGTATGCCAGATAATGGCGGCCTCTCGCATAACGGATTTTTTTGCCCAATGGACTTAGACTGCCAAATGATTTTTACTTGAGATAGGGAACCCTTCTCTGGGTAAAAAACTGAAAAATATATGAGAGTGATAAAATGCTGTCCCAAGTCCAGCATCAGATTGGGGCACAAATACTGTACAGTACATGCAGATCTGAGCTGAAGAAAATATTTTCAGTCATTTTTTTAGTAATCTTGTTACAACAAATTATCCGTTATAACAAACTTTTTCTGCAGTCCCCAAAAGTTTGTTGTAATGAGATTTTACTGTAGTTCAGTTACCAATCCTAATCAAGAACATAAAAAAAAATTATAGGAGTCCAGTAAAATTACAAATGATTCAAAAGAAATAATTCTTAATCAAGAAAACTTTTGAATTTCCTAAAAGAGCAAAGTAAGAAATACAAAAGAGAAGTGAAAAACTTAGCAACTGGTTTTGCTGAGCATTTCTGCCTCTTCCCAGTACTTTTCGCAAAATCATAAACTGCAAAAAATAATGTATGGCACATCTGCTGGAACAAACTACAGTACAGTATACAGTACTCTAAAAATTGCTCTGGTTAAATTAATTTCTGAACAACAAAATCGAAAAATGATTGAACATCTATACATAACTAAAGAAAATTTTCATTGCTCATTATACAATGTGCTGAAATTTTTTTTGTGCCTAAAATTCCAAAAAAATCATCACCACCCCCAATGATAAGGATGATTAAATTTTTTTTTTCAATTTCCAACTGCTTCCGAATTTGAGTCAAATGCCAAGTTCTTGCATTTAGACCCCTTTAAATTAGCCCTTGAAAATTAGAAGCGCAGTTTTAAACGTGGCTGCCAAAATAATTTTCCAACACAAATCCCAATTTCGCTAAACACTACAGTACAGTACAGTACAGTAATGCAATGAAATAAAAAAAAAATCTCTGCAATTTTTGGAAACATTTAGGCAAAAATAAAAATAAAAGAGAAATAGCATTTTGTGATGATTGGAATCATGGACACCTGCACGAATGCACAGCCAAGCCAAAAATACAGTGCAGTATATGTACATGCAGAAGTGAACCCACCAGCGTGGGCCGGATCCCGTCGGCCCAAACTTCCTGGTCCCGCAGGTACTCCATGGCACGCTGAACCCGCGCGCAGAGATGCTTGGTTACCCCGTGCAAGAAGGAGGCGCAGAAGTCTTCGATCCGCGGGATGAACGCGTCCGGAGGCAAGTCTGTGTGTATATATATGTGTATACATTATATACATATACGTATATACATAAATACATGTTACAGGTATGGGAACCCGCGGGAAAAAATAAAACAATAACAACATGAATACACCCAGCATCAGCTGCCGGGTGGCCCACAAGAAAAAAGGAAGGAGATATAATTTTCAACCAATTACAGTAGTGAGACCCCGAGATGCAGACGTAATTGGTGCATCAAGAGTGTCCATAAGTCCAAATGTCCCTAAGTTGAGTCTCATTTTCCCTTGGACTTACACTACATACTTTTTAATTTGTGTTTTATTTACAAATTACTCATCATAATTCCATTAAAATACAAATTATCTTCCAATTTAAACTGATTCAATCAATATACAGTGAGACCCCAAGATACAGACGTAATTGGTGCATCAAGAGTGTCCCCAAGTCAAAATGTCCCTAAGTCGAGTCTCATTTTCCCTTAGACTTACATAACATACTTTTTACTTAGTGTTTTATGTACAAAATACTCACTATAATTCCATGAAAATAGAAATTGTCTCCCAATTTAAAATAACTAAACTATTTCAACTATTTTAACTTACTATTTAATCAATATACAGTATTTCAACACAATATGGACATTTGGGGAATTGAATACTGATACCTCACAACAGAACATAGAAATGTTGGCATTCTCTGTAAAAGTAACATTCAAGCAAAAAAGAGAGAAGGAAGCTCCCCTATGCTGGAGGTAATTTTTTTTTTGATCAGCTAAATGGATGGTAAATTGGTGAGAGAAATACCCAAGAACTTTTCTTACATACATTTTAGGGTTGGAAATATCTGTTTCTTGGAATTTGGCCAGAAAAGTATTTGCAATTTTATCACAAAATGTCCCTATGTCAAGTCAGTGTCCTCATATGTTGGGCCTCTATTATTAATTTTTATGGGAAAATAAGTGTCCCTATGTCGAATTGTCCGCAGGAAGAGTTGTTGTCCGCATGTGGGGGTCTCACTGTATTCTAAAACTACAATTACACTTAGAATCTAATAGACTTCCTGTTAATTTTCAATCATCATGAAAAAAACAGAGCACATACAAAAACAGCATGAATATGCAGCAGTAGAAAACAAAGGTTTTATTCTTTAAATAAATATTCAAAAAAATGAGGGTTGGTTCATAAGTCTTGAGACTTGATGAAAAAGATCCAACGGAGCTTCAGCAATTCCGCAAAAAAAAAATTGCTTTCACATTTTCATCATTATGGCAACACTTAGTGCTGTTCAACATACTCCCTGCCGATTTCAGTGCATTTTTTTTCATGCAATAAATCCAACGATCAAAACAGTGCCGAAAATCAAGTTCTTGTACTAATTATCAGACTTTGGGTCCCAATTCTTGGCCACCAAACTTTATTTTTGGCACTGTTTTGATTGTTGGATTTATTGCGTTGAAATCAACGGAGAGTATGTTGAACAGCTCTGAAGTGTTGCCATAAATTATGGGGCTAAATGAGAGTAAAAATAATTCTGGATTTTTTAAAAACTCGTTGAATATATTTCAAAAAGTCTCGAAACTTACGAACCAAGCCTCGCACGTTTACATTTAGAATCAGACAGAAGTTGTGTTAGGGACTGAGGGGCGCACATGTAAAAAAAATAAAGTCGAATAAATAACTCTCCCAGCAACCAGCTTCCAGTAAACCAGGGCTGGGGCTTATGTAGAGAGAGAGACAATCACCAAAGAACTTTCCCCCAATAACCTTCAAAACTTGTTGGACAATTCTGCACATTGTCTTCGATTCTGACAATAAATGGCCAATCAGAAAGCAGCAAAGAATCCCAACCTTCACCAAGAGCAAGTTCAACACAACCCTTCCTCAATAATGCATAAAAGCCTAAAAAAAAATTGAAATCAACAGCACATTCTCATTGAAAATCTCATTCCCATTCTTAGCTTCCTCTGCTTGAACCAATTCTCTTGGAAATTTTGTGAATTATTGTTTGGTGTATTTCTCTGGAAGAAGATGCTGAGTTGTTGATTCTTTTGGGACATGAATAAATATCCATTTCTTAGAGCCTCTATAAAAAGGTTCCCAGCCAGTCCCAAGCTGATTGTGGTGTTTTATTCATAAAATCTTTTTGTTTGGGGAAATCCCTAACACTACGTTTTATTGGGTCGGAATCAGCATGAAAAAAAATAGAACACATGAGAAAATCCCGGCATGAACAAGATCAATTTGTAGCAGAGAGGCCCAAAAAAAAATATATATATAAGAGACCAGATTTTGATCAATAACTGAGCATTAAAAATATGGTACATTCAGACTAATCAGAAGTTATCCAATTTTTTTTGGTTATGAATCATGCAAAAATAGAACACACAGAAAAAGAGAGCATGAACAGAATTAATATCCACCAGGAAGTCCAGAAAACTAATCTGAAACATTTATAAAAGACCACATTTCAAACAACAATTGCATCTAAAAATGTTATTCAAAAGCTATATAAATATAAAATGTAGAAAGAAAACTGAATTTAAATGCAGAGGAAAGTTCAGTATGAGTTGGAAGAGAAAATTAAAAATCTGATCAGAGTTGAAGTCTATTTATCAATTTTGAATAAATGTCGCTTCTTATTATATTTTCATTTTTTTTTAATCCCAAAGCAGTGCAGGAGAAAATGCCAATGCAGCTGCAGTATTTCAAAAAACTATTAATTTTGAAAGATTGGATCTGACCTTTATAAATTCCAAACTCCATGGGCTTATAATGATTCATGCATTCTTCTAAATATTACATTGCATATAACAAGGGTTATGCTGATCATTTTATTTCGAGCCAAACATGTTTCCGAAATTCCAGATTCTTTTTTTTTAATTAGATTTTTTTATGTATTTGGTTAAAGAAGCAAAGAGAAAATTATATACTTGTATTTCTGAACCGGATTAGGGATGATTCCTGAATTTAACAATAACCTATACATGTTTTAATTACTATGATACCACGTAAATTATGAAATTCTGGAACTAATTAATTTTTCTATAATGTAACCTTAAGGGAAATAGGGTTTCAACATACGACGGCCCCATGTTATGACGTCCATCCTGGAACGGATTGATGACGTAAGATGGGGGCCCACACATAAACCAATTTCTTCGTTTCTCTTTTAATATATGAACATAAAGACTTGGCCTAATCCCTACTAAGGACTTAAATTGTTATTGGATATGTACAAAATTAATGATACTATGGTGCATTTAATACTTGGACAAAGTAAAGTATTCAGCAAGAAAACAATCAAAATTTGGACCCTTATTCAGGTATAAATTAATTTTTAAAACCACCGCAGTATTTTTTTGTTTGTTTCAAGTGCTGTCATTCTTTGAGAAGTGGTCTGCAATTTTCTGGGCCACCCTGTGTACATATTAGAAGGATGAGAAGGACAAGAAAATCCCGCATCATCGGATTTATTCACACGCCTTTGCACACACTAATGCCTGGCAGGCTGTTGTAAGAACTTTGGACTCATCAGGCCAGCTTATATAATCCCCAGGACAGATGCAGCAGCAGCAGCAGGTGAAATAAGGCAATATGTACTGCCTGTGCTGAATACAAGAAATGAAATGCCGGTTTCCTGCAAATGACTTCTTGACATGCCAACAAAATCACAAATATAGTGAGACCCTCACAATGCAGACACCTGAACATGCAGACAATTTGACATAGGGCCATTTGTTTTTCAATAAAAAAATGCATAAAAAAGACCCAACATAAAGACACTAGCTGACTTGACATGCAGACATTGAATGATGAAAGTACCAATACATTTAAGGAAAATTTACTTTTCTTACGCTCAATTGCAAGAAACAATATACTGTATATCCAACCCTAAGATCTATGCAAGAAAATTTTTTTCATGTTTCTCCCATCATTTTACCATCCATTCATCTAATTAAAAAATTAATTATAGCATACAGGGACTTCCTTCACTCTTTTTGACTTGAATGTTATTTTTACAGATGCCAACATTTCCATGCACTGTTCAGAGGTACACTATTCAATGCTCCAAATGTTCTTATTGAGTTGAAAAGATATTTGCTGAATCAAATTGATGCAAAAAAATTCATGGAATTCTGATGAATATTTCTTCCATAAAACACCAATTAAAAATTATATAATGTAAGTCTATGGGAAAATTAGACTTACTGTAACTTGGGGACATTTCGACTTAGGGACACTATTAATGCACCAATGACATCCCTGTCTGTGGGTCTCACTGTATTCTATTCTTCAAAATTTTCATAATGTGCAGAAGAAATTCAGTTATTTATAGTCACAAATATTGAAAAATAGCGGTTAACTTAAAATTACCCAAAATCATAATTAAAAACAGCACCTGTAGTCCCAAGTACATATTGCTCTGCAATTGTTCAACAACCACAAAATTTTGCGTGAACTTTCAAGACTCACGTTGCGTACCTTATTTTTACTTGAAATTCCTTTCGCAACTTTCTCTTACTCTGTTCATTGTGTCACGAGTTTATTTTTTTTTGCAGAAAAGAAGAGAGATCAATGCCTTGCTCTTTCACAATGGCTCCTCTGAGAAACCGGCCCGTCAGAACTAATAAATACAGTACAGTACAGCATCATCTTTTTTATTTTATTTTTATTCTGAAATAACACGCTTTTCCTGTTGGATCGTTCCATTCCGTTGCGTGCTGAGATTAAACTTGTCATAATAGCCGTCTGCGGGGGTACTAGACTGGGAAATCTTCGTCCTGGGAAGTCTTTTTTTTATGAGCAATGCAAGAACGGGAGCAACAAAAAATAAATAAATAAAAATAATATTTTTTAGGACACTGCATCGCACTAAATATCTACTGATGTGTTTTGCTCGTCGCCACCCGGTGAAAATGAAATGCCAGGGTTGACGCGAAAGTTTTGTCAGTACTGTACCTTGAAATTTGATTATTTGCCGAGATAACGGGTAACAGGTGTTTGAGTCGAAATTTCAAAACCCCTGTGGAACCAAAATTTGACACTGCATGGAAGCGCGATTTTCATTAGCGAAATACAGTAAAATGAGACCCCGCCCACATGCGGACAATTCAACCTTCGGACACTTATTTTCCTTAAAAATGCATTAAAAAAGGTGCGACATGCGGACACTGACTCGACATGCGGACATTGTGTGCAAAAATTGAAAATAAATTTAGGCCAAATTAAAAAAATAAGATATTTCCAACCCTAAGATTTATGTAAGAAAATTTCTCTGATATTTCTTTAATCATTTTACCATCCATTTATCTAATTAAAAAAAATTACCTCAACTTCAAAATCGATTCATTCTACAGAATCTGGAGAATGCGTTCCAACGACATTTGTAGCATATTTTTTCTACCGCAGTGTTACCAACACCAGCATGGGCTTCTCTACCCTGCATGAAAAAAAACACAGGTACTGCACCTGTACTGTACATGCAAGACAGAAAGAAAAATAAGAAAAAAAGAAATCTAACCATATTCCCGTTCCATCCTAATGATGGTCCGATACGCCCTGTCCTTGAGGCCGGAGAAGCTGAAACTGCAGTCCCGGTACTTGGCCAGCTGGAACGGGAACGGAAACGCCTTGGGGTCGCCTTTTTTGGCCAGGTGCTCGATGGCGCGGCCGCCGGAAAACCCCTGGCAATCCGGATGGTCTCGCAGTTTCAGGTACCTGGCGACCTTGTCCAGGGCTTCGCCGGGTGCGTCGTCCCGGGATTCGCCCAAGAGGCGGAAATCAGTGGGGCCACGAACCAGGGCCAGCAGACTGTGTCCCCCCGAGATGAGCAGCACCAGAAATGGGAAATCCACCTGGGTTTATACGAGTCAAAAGGAAAATAAAAACAAATGAAATTGTACCCTATTTCACTACTGAGTTACAACCAAGACAACTGAAAAAGAACTAAGGGACTGTTAAAAAGAGTACAGTGAGACCCCCACATGCAGACACCTCAACCTGCAGACAATTTGACATGGGGACACTTATTTTCTCATAAAAAATTAATAAAAAAAGGCCTGATATGAGGACATTGACTCAATATGGGGACATTTTGTGATAAAATTGCAAATACTGTACATTTCAGGCCAAATTACAAGAAACAGATATTTCCAACCCTAAAATTGATGTAAGAAAAGTTCTTGGGCATTTCTCTCATCAAATTACCATCCATTTAGCTATTTAAAAAAATTACCTCCAGCATAGAGGGACTTTTACTTTTTTTTCACTCGAGTGTTATTTTTGTAGATGCCAAAATTTCAGTGTACAGTACAGAGATAGACTATTCAATGCTCCAAATTTTCTTATTGAGTTGAAAATGTATTCACAAATTCAAGTGGCAAAAATTTTTTTTCAGGGAATTCTGAAGAATATTTTCTCCATAAAACACCAATTAAAATTATATAATGTAAGTCTATGGGAAAACAAGACTTGACTTTGGGACATTTTGACTTTTGGACACTCTTGATGCACCAATTATGTCCGCATCTCGGGGTCTCACTGTATATGATGATAGTTTGATTGTTCATCAACAATTTATTAACCATGTATCCGTTGTGTGTTTAGTCCTTCATTACGCAGTGTCCATGGAGAGAGTTCACCAGTGACAGTGGCAAAACGTACTATCACATGCAAGACTGGTTCCTTAGCTCTACCAGTTACGGTCTCCTCGACGCAGAGTGCTTCCTTCGACGCGTTGCGCCTCTTTTCCGAGGCCAAAGTAAGCTGCGCAGTCAACGTAACCAAAGAGGAACTGGCTACTTCTGTACATTTCATGCCACTTCGAGTGTTCTCAGTCGAACCTTTTCAAGTCGAATTTCAAGGGATCAGAAAAGAAAATAGAGTTGGGGAAACGAAACATTTTTGTTTGCCCTTTCTTTCTTCTTAAAGTCCCGTAACATTAACCACTATAAGACCCGGAATTTACCGGAAAATTTACTCAACTGTCCTACAACTTGAACCTCCGTTCCCAAGTAACTGGGTTATTCAGAAAGTGATCCTTTCAAAACACGTCAAGTTACATTTTTATTGCTTTTCTCTTTTTTTGTGTCAATTACAGTAAATAATAGCCAAAAGGCCACCAGAAAATTCGAGTTATGGTGTTTGAGAGGGAAAGTCGCTGAGATACGGAGATTTTTAACGCTTTTTTTTTTTCTTAAGGAATTCAGACAAGTACTTCAGAAAAATTTTACTTGGAAACGTTTGAGTTATTGAGTTTCATCTGTACAATATTATTTTTTCATTGCATAGGTGTCGCCCGCATTTTTGTAAACTTTTGCCAATAACAGTGTCAATGGTGGCTCGTCAGAAAGTAACATGCGTTTTTATATTTATTTAAAGATTTTAAATAGCTGTTGAGGCTATTCTCAAGGTGGATAACATGTAATTAAGCGCTTACTGTTGCTCTTGAGGTTTCTACGTCTGATTTTTTTTCACTGTCCCTGAATTTTGTTACTTTTTTTTGGTTCAAGCCAGTTCCCCTGAAGTTTGATGTTAGATTATTGTATGTCAATTGAATCTTTTTGGTGACATCCCTAAATAATTTGAAAGTATATGTTTATTTATTGAAATTTGAAAAACTTTCGACTTTTCCTCGAAATAATTTTCAATGAGAGTGATGCGAGTTAATTTTATTTATGGTGTGATAATGTTTTTTTTTTTCACTCATTTACAGGCCGAATTCTGGTGGCGGTGGTGAAGCAGGAGGTGGATCCACTTCCGCGTTGGACCAGGCCATGGCGGCAACGTTGGCGGCGATGACTGGTGGCCCTGGCCCTCGACAGGGCAGACTACGCGGCGCTGGTAATGGGCTGCCATTCGTGAGAATTGCACACTTAACAAAAAAATGAAATAAAAGAGGAAGTTATTCCAATTCGACAGCGAACCTAAATAACTCCTACCTCCAATCGGATGCTGATTTCTTAGCAAATTCATTGTCAACTACCATGTTTCCCCAAAATGTAGGAACTATTTATTCAATAAGCGTTACAAAAATTCGCATGCATTTCTGTCAATGAAAGTAAATATACTTCAACTGACGCATACTTCACTTCAAATGAAAGGTATGAAGCTATTTAGAAAGGCTGAGTGTTTCCAGAACGTCCCATAGTGTAAAGCTTGTTGTCCAGTTGTCAATTGAATAAATTGCATCTCAAGTTTTGCAAAACAATAATATAGAATATATATATGTTTCAATATACGCGTCAGATAAAACAGACAAGTTTGTTTTCATCTCTCTGGAGGTTTTCCACGTGGTCCTTCAAAGAGACTCTTACGTTCGACGTTATGAAGTGTTCTAAGACTAATAAGGACCCTATTCGAACCACGAAACTATTTAATACCTTCTTATAGAAAACTTCAACAGGGGAATAATTTCTTGGAGAGGAAATGATTCCTGAGATATAATTTGGAGGTTGTTCCTCCTTGAGAGAATATTTTTGTGCCAAACAGGATTTGGCAAATTACCAGAGGCTGTAGAGCCTGACGAACATGTTTTTGAGTAAATTACATACAAAAATTGTTGGCAATATTTGTCAGGAGAAACATATGTAGGAGAATTACTCATGAAACCTGAGAAGATATTTGGTCTAGTAAATAGCTCAGCAATTTTGTTTTGTCAAGGATCTTTCCAAGCATCTCATTTTACTGTTAATAGTGGAAAAAAATGTTTCAGAAAGAAATCTTTGCCAAATATCGGATAACAAGCTGTAAGAAATCTGCTAACTTCATGCATACGTGAGGAAATGGCAAATAAAACGGATGCTTCATCAGAAAAAAAAATAAGGACCAAAAATACTTTTGAGCAAGGAAAACAATGACGATACAATGAAGCTAAACAGTCATAAATGAGAAAAGCAACGCTTGAGACAATCGAACAGATCATCCAGAAATACGGAAAACAATGTTAAAAACGGTTTTCTCCTCCGGGTATACAATATTTGCGGGAGCCGCATTCCCCGCAGCATTATATAAATTAAAATTTTTAAATATAAGAAATGACATTATAAATGATAGCTTTGCGTCTGAATTTTTCTTCTTGGGGGTGATCATTTGTCACAGAAGCTAAAATATGTAGCGAATTCCACGAAAAATTTATCAGCGACTTATTGCTGAATCACTTTGATTGAATTCCACGCAGTGATGCTTCAAATTTTAGAAATGTTTAGTTAAAACTCTTCTAAGTATGGATCTTCTTTAAAATTTTGACGCCCTTGAATCATTTGGTACATAAGGGTATCCACCCCGTCTTACATCTTTTAACCATATTTTTGTGTACTTCCAGATCAACGTGGCGGAGATAGTGACTCTTCGAGCGATTCTGAAGATGATAAGATCAAGCAACCCATGGATCGCAAGAAAGCGATTGAAGTTTTCAAAGAGCTGCTGAAGGAGAAGGCAAGTTTTTTTTTTTTTCATTTTGTTGGAATTGAATGAATACTGTATCATTAAATTGAAAATACAGTAATGCACAGTATTTGTACCTAAGATTAACGTCTGATTAAAAAGTTTCAAAATACGTGCAAAAATACCTGAGGGCATGGGTTTAGAAGATTACCAAATGTGCTTCATACCATTGTCTAATTCTACTTTGAGCTGCTGATTCAATTGATTTTCATGTGACTTGTTTCATTTGAAAATTTTACATGTCTTAAGCGGTGTTGATATTCTGAATTCCCATTCTTTGTTTGAAAAAATGAAGATGGAAAATATAGAAAAGATACGGCTTCTTTGATCATAGGAAAACTAATCCCCTGTCTAATGTTTTCTCTCATGAATTATGGAAAACAGAATATATATATATAATTATGATTATGTTTTCTAGTGTTTAAAACAATTCTGACAACATTGACTCCAGCTTTTAAGAGAATTTGAACTTAGGTTCAGAATCTTATCTCAGGTAGTTTCAGAAGGGGTGCAAAATTATCTGTTCATTCTGTTGGCACCCACTTGTGCAGACAGGTCGTATTGAATGAAATTACAATATGTTTAAAGGTGGATTCTCTATTTTCTCTTCATAACAAATTCTATTATTCCCATAGGATTCTTCTTCTATGTACTGTAATGGGGGTTCTCTACAACAGTGATCCCCAACCTTTTTTGGGCCTGTGGACTGGCAAAGTTCCATAATTTTTTTTTGCAGACCCGGAAATTACCAAAGAATTTCCTGCAGACTGACAAAGTTTCATGACATTTTTGCAGACTCAAAAATTTTTTGTTCGAATGACTTGATGTATTTCATAAAGTTGAGGACCTATGAAGCAGCTATAGAGGAATTTCTTTAAAAAAAAATCAGAGAAGTGGGCTTGAAGAAAGGTTTCTCAGAATGAGTAATTGAAATGATGTATTTCAGCAGGTGCAAATTTGTCTGAAGTGCTATTAGGAGAAAAGCCAACTTTCATTTTCCATCAGAAAATTTACACTGCCCTCGTCTTTCCAAAATTTCAGATGAAGATAACAGACTTCATTGCTACTTTCATTAAATTGATTATGCTTAAGAAAATTTTCTGTGGGCTGGCAGGAAACATCTGCAGACTGGCGCTAGTCTTCAGACCTCAGGTTGGGTAACACTGCTCTACAACAAAATTCTCTGTACAATAAAAATTCTTTTTCTTGTCCCTTCAATTTTTTTGTAGAGGGAGTCCACCTGTATAAAAAAATTAACTTGAGGGTGTTGATGTGCTGGAGTGTCAAGACATTTACCAATGAAGAGGAGAAGGCAATGCCTTATGAGTTTCTATTTCCCAAATGTATTTCAAAATAGCACCGTCAATTTGCATCATTCAAGTTTCATTGCTTGTATGAACAGTCTAACCTCTCTAAGTCAAAATTCAAGGGACCAGCAAAAAAGTTTGGGAGGTTTTGAATTAAGCTGCAATACAAAGCCCTTTTGTCCTTGGAAACATAGAAAAATTGCTCAAAATTGTAAATTGTGATATTCTGAGGCTGAAATTACTTCTTGAATCAGTTGAAAGCATCCTGAACGTGGAGGCAGGGTTCTTTTGCATAATTAAGTCTCTCACCTCCTTTTAAAACAAATCAATTTTTAATGCTTTTTTTCTTTCTTGTGTCAAGAAAATGAAAGCCAACAGGCCACAGAAAATTCAACTTATGGAGGTTTCAGAGGAAAAGCCGTTGACTTGGGGAGGTTTCAAATGTATTAATTCTAATGGGATTCAGACAGGACCTGAAGAAACAAATTTGACTGAGGGAGGTTTGTTGAGTTATCAAGTTTCACCTGTATTCTTTTTATTTTCTCAATGATAGAATGTCCCGAGCACGGCGAGTTGGGAAGGCGCCTTTAAGATGGTGCAAGACGACCCTCGCTTCAACGTCCTCGCCAAACAACACGAGAAGAAGCAAGCCTGGAACGCGTACAAGATCCAAAAGGCGAAGGACGAGCGCGAAGAGCAACGCCTCAAGGCCAAGCGGGCCCGCGAAGACTTCGAGCAATTCCTCTCCAACAACTCGGAAATGCACTCCACGGTCAAGTACTACAAGTGCGAACAGAAATTCGGTCAATTGGACGTCTGGAAAAACGTCCCGGAAGCCACGAGACGAGAGATCTACGACGACGTCGTTTTCAACCTCGGCAAAGTGGAGAAGGAACGCGCCAAACAACTCAGAAAGCGGAACATGAAGACCCTCGCTGAGCTCTTTGACTCCATGGTGGAGATCACGTACAAGACAACGTGGAAATCCGCGCAGGTGCTGGTCATTGAGAATGAAACGTTCAAGAACGACGACGGACTGCGGGAAATGGATCTCGAAGACGCCTTGGTCGTGTTTGAAGAACACATTCGCCAGCTGGAGCAAGAAGAGCACGAGGAACGCGAGCGGGAAAAGCGGGTGCAGCGACGAGTGCAAAGGAAGAATCGGGAGAAGTTTCTGGAGTTGCTCGAGGAGTATCACGAAAAGGGACAATTGACTTCCATGTCGCTGTGGTCGGAGCTTTGCGGGGTGTTTAAAGAGGACGAGCGATTTCTGGCCATGCTGGGACAGCCCGGGTCCACGCCCCTGGATTTGTTCAAGTTTGCAGTGGAGGAAAGAAAGGCGAGATTCCACGATGAGAAGAGGATCATCAAGGAGATCCTGAAGGAGAAGTCGTTTGTGGTACAAACTGATACCGAGTTTCAGCTCAAACGGTTTCACGACGACCTCCTATAGGCCAGCCGACGGAAACTACGGCCGTTACAGTTCGAGTGGATGTTGAGTAACCAACTTTTCCATTTTGTTTTTCCAAAAAAGAAAAGCACTTTTTCAGCTGACCATTCAATGTTTTTATAGATCATGTGTAAGACCAGTGAAAGTAAAACCATTCTCAAGAAACAGCACTGACATGATTATGTTATAGCTTTGGCAAAGAGTATGTTTAGCTTTCCCTGTTTTTTTTCTCTGTGCATTGACCTGATGTGAAGCGTGAAAACAGCATTTCTGCATGAAATTCATTTATGTTAAAATCGCTTTCTAATGCAGCAGATGCCATACAGTTTCTAAGGTGTGTGAAATATGTGAAATTCAGCAGTAAATGTAAGGTAAAATCCATTGAAGTTATTTTCTGCTTCCTGGTGATAAACCTCAGTGTACTCTTTGAATTTTGAACATTGATTTAATTAATTGAGTACCAAATGCACCTTTTTTTTCAAAAGTAAGAGGAAAAATGCGAGGGTCTGAGTCATAAGTGGGTAAACAATTTTTCAACATTTTTGAAGTTTAGGTGTGTGCATTACACTTTAATCTAACAAAAAAGTTGGATTAATTTTAACAATTACTGTATTGAAAAATGTACGCAATTGAATAATAATTGGTTTCAGATTCAAATCAAAATTCAAATTCTGATTTTTTTGAAGCATCGCAATCATTCATTTGCTTGAAATACGTGTGCGCATCTTTTTTAGGGATACGTTTTATCCAAATTTTAGGCTTAAAAATCCAGGTGCGTATCTTTATCAAGGTCGTGTGGCACTTGAGTGAATACAGTAATTGACATGATGAAGTCTGAATCGGGATGCAACTGCAAAAACTCACTGAGGAAATATTGAACAGCTTTCTTTTTTCTTTTTAATGTGCCAATGGAAAATCTTCAAGACATCTCCATCAAGACAACCTTTTATTGTTTTTCATAGAAGATTCCAATTTTTTAGACTTTTGTTATACAGAATTTGTTCTGATGAAGAATTTTGAACAGTCCATGCTTCATAAGTGCGATGTTTTTTAAATCAAAGGTTTTCTCCATAAAATATTGTGTTTTGGTTCTTGAGAACCAGTCTGAACATCCAAGCTACGTGTTCCTTGTCATAGATTTAATGCTGAACACATGTCGGGAAGATGAAGAATGTTTAACTTATTTTCCTTGTATAGAAATCTGAAAATTTTGATTGAGAGAAAAATATTGAGCGACATTGAATAATCGTCAGTGATGTTTTTATTTCTTGCATGATTTCAGGCTGAAGCACGGGAGAAAGAGCGTCTGAAAGAAGAAGCGAGGAAAGCCAAGAAAGTGGCGGCGGACTTCAAACAGATGCTCAAAACGGAAGGCATTGACGAGAAGTCTTCTTGGGAAACCGTGAGGGAGAAGATCGAAAATCAACCGGCCTTCGTCTCTGTTCCTGTCGAATCCGAGCGTGTCCGGATTTTCAAAGTATGTGTCATAATTATGCTGTGATAATTTTCAAAATGTCTAAAAGCAATTGAATCAAACTTTGCTGTGAATGTGGATTTAAATTCCAGTTTTTTTTTTTTAATTCTGATCAAGTCCCAATTGCCATTTGAAATTGTGGTACATTACAATTAAATCTTTTTACAACAATCTTTTGGGGACTTTGGAAAAAGTTATTTGTGCTGAATAATTTGTTATTACAACAATAATCACTGGGGAAAATGTTCACAACATACGAGGGCTCTATCAAAAGTTCTCAGAATATAAATTAAAATGGGCATACAATTGAGCTGAAAAATTTTGTTTTTTAATGAAAATATATTCTTTGGCACACAAAAAAATAAGCCCTGTTTGGCAGATTTTTTTGAATGTTTTGCAAAATTCACCCTGGCAGAGTTTTGCTCTCCACTCAAAAGATGAGGTGCCCTTCCTGCAGAACATTCAAAGAAATTTGTCAAACAGGGCTGATATTTTTTTGTGTGCCAAAAGGATATGTTTTCCCTGAAGAATAAATTTTTTCAGCTCAATTATACGCCATTTTAATTTATATTCCGAGAACTTTTGTTAGAACCCTAAGATCAATTAAATCTTAATTTTCTTGCCTTCTCAGATATATTTTTATTACTGTTTAAAACTGAGTGATTCTTCAGAAGAAAAATAAAATTGACTTCAAACATTTCCTCGCCGTTTCTCAGGAATACATAGACCATTTGAGTGCTTCGGCGCCGAAGAAGAAGAAGCGGAAGGCCGATCGGTCCCGGTCTCGGTCTGGGTCATTATCGCCAATCTCTGACGGGGAATCCGACCTGGAAAACGTCGGCTCCAAGTCTCGGAAATCCCGGAGTCGCCGATCGCGTTCTCGGTCTCGCAGCCGCCGATCGGGCAGCTACTCCTCCATCAGTTCCAACTCCGACCTCGATCGGCGTTCTCGCAAATCCCGCAAGAAGAAGAAAAAGCGAAAGGTCAGTTGAAAAAAATTTTCCTCTTTTCTTTTTCTTTTTTGTGTGTATATGTGCGTGTGTGTGTGTGTGTCCAATGTTGCTTTTGTCGATGTTATGTAGATATTGTCGTTTTTGTTTTGGTTTTTTTTTCGTTTTGTTTCGGGTAATTTCCTCATGGAGCAGAAATGAAAACTGGTCGTTACAGAGCGACTCGAGCGAGGAGCGAATTTCCAGGAGGCGGAGAAGGGAGAAGTCCAGCTCGAAATCTAGTGCGAGAAGACCGAAGGTGGATGCGGAAGAAGGGGAAGTTCCTGACTTTTGAAAAAAAAATGTTTTGAGAGTTTTTTTGTTGTTGAGTTTATTTCTTCTTTATCCCTCGACTTCCTCGTGTTTTCCATTCGATTCCGCGTTTGGTTTGTTCGTTGGTCCTTCTTTGCATAAACTGATTTTCATGAAAGTCTTCGTGTGAAATACTTTCATTTCGTCTCGGAATTGGCGTCCGAAGTCTAGCAGCAAAATCCCGCAATGAGCCGCTATTGCGATGAATTCGGGAGAGATTATCTATCAGATATGAAATATTCAATTTACTGAGTAAGAAGCTTTTAAAATTTTCGCACTACTGTATCAACTAAATGATTGACCTTGAAAGACTTGAAACGTAATGCGAGGAAATTTCCTGAAGCTTGAAAAACGATTTTTACTGGAAGAGAAACGCACAGAGATTGAAGGAAGGGAGAAAATGCAGCTTGGTGAATTCAACTTCCAATTTCTCTCGCAAATTCTGAAATTTATTCAATTGAATTTCCAAATACTTACATAAAAATATAGAAAACAATGATCGCGAACACGTATTGAACGCAATTGCTTATCAATCCTAAAATGTTCGCTGTTCTATCGGAGAAATTATTATTACGCAGGGTCCTCCATTTTGTAATACAGTATTATCAAACATTCACTGCGAATTTTCCTTTCAAAACGAACAAAACTACAAACTGCTCCAAGCCACCTGGTAATATTGCATAAACTTGAATAAATCTCTCTCAGAAAAAGCAGAAAGTTTATGTCCAAGTGAGTACAGTTCGATAAATGATGGAAATGAAAATGGCGTTTCCTTGAAAGGCTCCAATAATATCACGTAACTATCTAATAATTTGTATGGTTGCGCCACGATCGAATAAAAATCATTACGACATCCATAAAAAAAAAAACGGAAGAAACGTACTAATCTAAATCCAGACCATTGATCGCTTAAGGCACAGAATAAAAAATAAAAATAAACGAATCATGAAGCAAGTGTCATCAGTTACAATAATTTCTCGCACGACATCTCATGCATTAAAATATCGTTTTAACTAAACCATTGGGTTATAACGAAAAATCCATAATACGGCAATTCGTTGGAACGGGATTCTACTGCGAATGGTTGTTCGTAGAAATTCGCTGCATTGTATCAGAAATAACTCGCCTCCTCCAACAGCATCTCGTGGAAATGTCCAAGACCCCGTTATTATAGCAGCACCAGCAGATGAGGCCAATCCCGTAAAAATCTGCAACAAAATTGGCACGAAATTCATCAGAACGCGACGTGAGTACGAAAACTTTTCGCCCTCATACCAGGAATAGAAAGAGAAAAACCTTCGTTAATCCCAGTCCGATTACCTCCTAAATTTCAGGTCTCTTACCCATTCGTCTCTATATATATTTTCTTCTCCGGATTCACCAACCGACAAGATGGCGTCGCGAATAAAGTTCGAGGGGCGCCTCGCTGGCGGCGAGAACTGGAAGGAAACGACGGAGGCGGCGGTGCAACTCGAGCGCCGCATCGACGCGGAAGATAACAGTGAGAATCCGGCGCTCGGGAAGCAGAAATCCGATTTGGCAAAGGGCCTAGAAATGATCGAACGCGTTCGAAAGCGGCAAGCTGCGGTTTTCAGAAGGCTGAAGCCTTACAGACTCACGCATCCGCTCAAGTTCATGAACGTCGGCTCCAAGGTTCAGGCGAAAGTTTTCAGTGGATCTCTCTTCCTGGGGTCATTTCCTTTTTTTTGCTTATTTGTATAAAAAACACACTTATCATGTATTCAATCAATTCTTTTAAAATTTAATACAAATGTTAAAGTTGGAGACCCCAAATTTATGAAAAAATACTAACTCACGCATCTGCTCGAATTCATTGGCCCCAGTATTCAGGCAAAAATGTGCAATCGGATCATATGATTTAAATGATTCTTTTTATTTCAATTCATAGAAATATTCAAGTTGGATATGCAAAATGTGTGAGATTCAAGTTGGGTATACAAACATGAGACAATTTGATGGATTATGAAATTGTTGTTAATGCATAATGGAATTGACGGCAAAGAATATTTTGAGACCAAATTTAAAATAATATTTCTAAAACTGATCTAAAACTGGGGCATCAGATCAGAGATTGAATTGAGAATTAAATTGGATGCTCATTGAATTGCTTCTAGATATTTTTATTGTCAGAATTATAATTTTTTAGATCAGGGTTTCACAACTTTTTTGGGCCTGCAGGCCAGAAAATTAGAAAAAAAAAATCTTGCAGACCTGCAAATAAAATTTCAACAAATTTCTGTGGACCGGCAAAGGCTCTTAAGAAATTTTCTGTGGACTAGCAAAATTTCATAACATTTTTGCAGACTCAAAAAAGTTTTGTTTGAAACACTTTATGGCATGCATTTAAAAAAAGTTTGTTTTTTGTATAAATTATGCAATTTTAGTGAAGCAGCTATACAGGTGGTACCTTGCAATTTGACCCTAATCCATTGCCAAACTAGGGTCAAATTACAAGACACTTTCTGAAATTCAAACATATCAGTACATAAACACAAAAAATGGTCAAAGCTGGTAGAATTGTGGGGCAAGGGTTGAATTGCAAGTCAAAAAAAAAATTGAAGGATGGTTGAATTGCAAGAGGTCAAATTGCAAGGTACCACCTGTATTAGAATGTCTTCAAAGCATTACAAAGGTGGGCTTGAAGAAAGGTTTCTCAGAATGAAAAATCAAAATATTGTATTCCAGCAAGTAAAAATTTGTCTGAAATGTTATCAAGAGAAAAGCCAACATTCATTTCTTTTTTTTTATGTTATCAGCAGTATGAGCTTCATATGTTCATTTTTAAGACACTCTGTGTTCATCTCTGGCTAAATATCTCTTTTTTCTGAAAAGCATTTGTGTGTTTCTGATTGCTCAAGAAAGATAATTTTTTATGTAATCAGTACAGTATATGGAACTGTGTACTGTATTTCCATTTCTAAGGCATTCTCTTTTCATTTCTGGCTGCACTGCTTCTCTGTTCTTTGATTTATATTGTCCTGAAGGCGTTTGATGTTTTTTGTTTTGCTTGAGAATAAGTCATATGAAATGAAATTATTTGAATTTGATTTGCTGATGTCATGTGTGATGCAGTCCACCAGGGAGAACTTCCAAATGTGCGAGGGCTCCACCCGGGAATTCATGCGCCTCAAGCTGCTCAAGGACGTCCAGCCGGGCCTCTACAAGGGCAACACGTTTTGGCTCAAGCGCATGAAGACCTACTGGCACTACCACGACCCCATCCTGGCCCTCTACGAAGAGAAGATCGTCGCCACCGACACTCGTCGCGTCGGCCCGCTCCTGGGCAAACTGAATCGGGAAGTGCGCAAGTTCGCCACCAAGATCGTCAACTTTCGCGACATGTCGACGGCGTTTGAGCAGAGCAGCATGGCCACCACGCATGCCATGAATGACTTCATCGCGTCGCCGGAAGGAGAAGCCTTTGCAGAGGCAAATGCGAAATTTTCTGCCTCTTTTTTTTTTTTCTAGGCAATATATGGACATATCCTGAAACAAGAAACAAACTTTGGTACTTGTGTAGAGAGATATAGTCCCTTTCTACAACCATCTTGGATTATACCTAACAAAGGGCACAGCACCAACTCACACAAGTTTTTTTTTTTCATTTATCTTTTGATTTGTTTTAAATTTAGGTTTTGGCAAAAATGTATCGTACACCTTCCTTGTGTCTAGATTCTCTTCTATCTTAAATTAATGAATGATCCGCCACAATTTTCTCTGTGCAACAAATTTATTTTTTGTCCCTGTATTTTTTGAGGGAGTCCACCTGTAATACTAGGGTTGGTGATTAAAATTTGAGACTTTTCGAAATATCGTAGATCCAACAGAAGTTCAACAATAAAAAATAAATTTACTTGTGCAGCCCCATCATTTGGTAACACTTCAGTGCTGTTCAATATACTCTCTGCCAATTGCAATGCCTTTTACCATGCAATGAATCCAACAATCAAAACTGTTCCCACCAAAAATTGAGTTCCATCCCGTTAATACAGTAGTAGAAAAACCAAAATCAGCTTTACAACATTTTTTAGGGACCACCACAAATTGAGGACACGTGAATCAACATAGGGACATTTTGTGATCAAATTGCAAATAAGTTTCAGGCCAAATTACAAGAAACAGATATTTTCAACCCTTTAATTGATGTAAGGAAAGTTCTTGGGCATTTCTCTCACCAATTTACTTGTGCAGCCCCATCATTTGGTAACACTTCAGTGATGAAAACGTGGTTTTTTAGATTAATTTTTTAATCTACTATAATTATTTTTTCTAGGCAATATATGGACATATCCTGAAACAAGAAACAAACTTTGGTACTAGTGTATAGAGAGAAAGTCCCTTTCTACGACAAGCTTGGATTATATGCAACGAATGGCACAGCAACAACTCACACAAGTTTTTTTTTCACTTATCTTTTGATATGTTTTAAATTTAGGTTCTGGTAAAAATGTATACCTTTCTTTCACTTTTGTCTTAAATTAATGAATGATCAGCCACAATTGTCTCTGTTCAACAAATTTCTTTTTGTTGTCCCTTTATTAAGATTCATTGTATAGGGAGAGGGAGGGAGTCCACCTGTAATACTAGGGTTGGTTCTTAAAATTTGAGACTTTTTTAAATAGATCCAACAGAAGTTCAACAATAAAAAATAAATTTACTTGTGCAGCCCCATCATTTGGTAACACTTCAGTGCTTTTCAATATACTCTCTGCCAATTGCAATGCCTTTTTCCATGCAATGAATCCAACAATCAAAACTGTTCCCACCAAAAATTGAGTTCCATCCCATTAATAGTAGAAAAACCAAAATCAGCTTCACAACATTTTTTAGGGACCACTAGTTGAGGACACGTGACTCAACATAGGGACATTTTGTGATCAAATTGCAAATAAGTTTCAGGCCAAATTACAAGAAACAGATATTTTCAACCCTTTAATTGATGTAAGGAAAGTTCTTGGGCAT